CAACACCTTCCCCCAAATTCAGAGCCCAGTGCGGACAGAGACTGAGCATGGAATGTCACGGCCTCCCAGCACCGAGCGCATTGCCTCTGACACAGGAGCTCAGTGAAAATTTGTTAAATGAACCAAAACAGAGCTGCTTGTTTTTCAAAAGTATTGAAATACAGAGGAATTCATAAATAAGCTGAATCTTAAAATCTTCATGGGCAAAAGTTGAGCAGCTAAAAAACTGTCTTTACTTTACAAAATGACCTCTTTTCTCTTCACATTCAAAGACATAAGTGATCAAGCTTCCCTTCTCTGATCTTGTCTTTTCTTCCTAACCCTTCTGATGGGTGCTGTAAAGTCCTCTCTGACTCTACTTCTGAAAGAACTTCTTATTTACAAATATCCCCAATTTCAGAAACTTGCCACAGGAAGTGGTGTCCTCAGGAAAGAAATGAGGAATTGATTACATGTAAAACTCTTCATAATACATTAGACTTTTGAGAGCTCCTTTCAGTAGCAATCCCCTTCTAGATTTAAATGTTTTTCTGTAGAACATTACCTCTTTGTCAGAGAGGGAAAATTAGCAAATCTTAATTCTAAAACAGGAAATCATCATCCATGGAAGGAAAAAAGTAACAACAACAGGCCCTGGGCAACCATTCTGCACCAAGCACATACAGGCTGCGTGTTTTATATCCACCATCTCTCTCCCCAAACTCCCAGGCCCATATTCCACATACTAAAACTAAGGCTCAGAGAAGGTAAATGATTTTCCAAAATGCAGCAAACTGCATTTTGAACTCAAGTCCATCCAACTCCAAACCTGTGCTCTTTCCATTATGCCAACTACCTTGAATCAGAAATTTTTTAAAAAAGGAAAAGAAAAAAATTCATGACAACACAACCCAACATAGCGCTTCATTTGAATCAGCTAGATTCAGACCCTAACTAGAAGAAGCAAGTTGACTATATCAAGCAAGAAACATGAGCACTAAAATATTTCCTTTATCCCTTGGGACCACGAGCAAGAAGACTAGCAAAGAAAAAGAGAAGAGGACTCCCAAACACCAAGATGGATAACGGTTAGAACTGGAGAGGCGCTGGCTGGACCCATCCCTGGCCACACACAGGCTCCAACACACGACTGCTCCAGGAGGCCAGTGGAGCCCACGGTGGGAGGCACTTCCAAGCCTGGAAGAGAAGACACTGCAAAACCGGATGCAAATGTCACAGCATCTGGAACCTGAGCAGTCCTTGATAGCTGCACCTACATAAGCTCCCTCACCAGATCTGGCATCTTGGCAAATGCAATCAGCTTTACACCAAAGAAATTACAAGGCCCAAAGGCATTCCTGATTTGGGCTATAATCCTCCAAACTCCAACACCATCAAAAATTAGAGGACTGTGGTCAGGCACAGCTCCCTTTCACTGTCCTAAATGAAGCTTCACCTTGAGTCACCATCTCCCTAATATGTCCTTGCCTTTTCCAATTACAGTGAGCCCCTCTGGAACAGCATCTCCTCTACCGATGACCTTGCCAAATCCTACCCATTCTGTGGAGCTCAGTGGAAGGTCAACCTCCTCCTCCCAAAAGCAGCTGGTGATTGTGCTCACAATGTTCTGTCCCTGCTCTGACTACAAACACCGTCCCACTTAGCATTTAACTACATGTCTATCTAGATACACTCAGGACTAATGCACTTGACTCCAATGTTGCCACCTGCCACAGTGATATTCACTCTTTCCTGCAGTTAAATTCAATAAAATACTCCTACTCTGCTCCAGGCACCGAAGATACAGGAATGATTAAATCCTAGCCCTGCCCTGTGGGACTCACAGTCTAGCGTATAATAGATAATACAAAATAAAACCGTACAAATAAATTTATCATAATAGAGTACAAGATACGATCCTAAGCATTACTATCATATCACCCTGTTTATTTCCTTCATATCATTTAACTCAATCTGTGGCTGTTACATTTGTTCATTTACTTACTGTCAGTCTGTCCCCACTAGGAGACACTAGGACAGGAATCTTGTTTGTCTGGTTCACTACTGTGTCCCCAGCACTCAAACAGACTTGGCACAGGAACACACCCATTAAAAGCAGTTATCTGTGGAAGGAGATCAAGAGAGAGGCAAGGAAGTGTCCGGAACTATGAGCACTAAGCCCAACTTAGAGGTCCAGGCAATGCTTCTGTGACAGGAGATACCTGGGCTGAGATGTGAGTGCAAGTAAGGACCAGACAGGGAAAAGGTGAGGCCAATCCAGAAGAGGAGACAGGATAAGCAAAGGTAAGAAATGGCATGAGCATAACAAAGGCAGTGGGGGCAAAGCCTTTAAATATTACTGTAGACCACCTGTTCTCCAAGAGGGGTGATTTTGCCCCCGAGGGGGCATGTGGGAATGCCTGCAGACATTTTTGATTGTCATGACTTGGGGCAACAGTTGCTACTGGCATCTACTAGGTAGAGTCCAGGGATGCTTCTAAACAGCCCACAATGTACAGAACAGCCCCCCTACAATAAAGAATTATCTGGTTTAAAATGTCAGTAGCGCTGAGGTTTGGCAACCCTGCTGTAGCCTAACATTCAAGGGATGGACTGGTCAGAGAACATTAAAGCTTTCTTCTCAAGTTCACGATTTCTACTCATGCTGAATATCTTCCTTTGATTAGAATTTGGACTAGGGTAGCATTTGCTTGCCACCTCCCATAACCTCTAAGAAAGGAACTATTCAGCAAGGAGTGTCCAGAACCTATCAGGCCTCTATTTTAGCCAAAATAAGACTTTCAGCAGACATCAGTGAGTTCTGTAGCACTACACTCGGCCCCTGGGTCTGTTTTATGATCTTCACCAAATATCACATAGTATCAATTTCCTTCATTTGTTGGCTATCCACCAGGATGCATCATTTTCCCTCTAAATTCCAGGACTCCAAACTACCCACCCCATATACAAGGTAATGAGATATACAAAGATGAGGACAACAGGAGGTAGCACCCAATAGACGGATGGATGGTTAGACAGACAGATGGATGGACAGAGAGAGATTTTTCAAGATGGCAAAAGACCAAGTCTTTGGAGCTCCAAGGGTGTGTATCTGTACCTTGTGCACTTTTCCACAAAGGCAAATTGGCCTGGACATTGACCCTCCCTGACCCGTGCCCTGTTATGGGGGGCTGTCACGGAGAACGCTTAGAAGAGAGGACCATAAAGCCTTGGCAGGGAGTCAGGCAGCTGGACTTGATGGAGTGATGGGAGCTGGAAGTCAGCGAAGACATAGCCCCTTTGTCTAGAAGTACCTAACACCCCGCAGGGCTGAGCCTGCCCCTTGACAACAAAATCAGTGGTAGCTCCAAAACTTGTCAGGGCCTGACCCTCTGTTCAGCTTCTCACACTGCCTCACAATTGCTTCCCTTCAAGAGCTAAAAGTCTCAGTCTAAGACGGGTTTGCTTATTTTTGCCCTGGCAAACAATTCAGTACTATCTGAAATGCCTGCGACTCTAAAAAATAAAAATAATCACTATTTTTTTCTGTTGTAAGAGATCCAATAGTGGTATATTTCTGCAAAGTAGATCCCAGACACTCACAAAGGCTATCTCCTATTCCATCTCATATTCCACCATGACATAAAGCTTCCCAAATTTCCTCATCTCTGAAGTGGGCACAATACCACCCGCCTTATAGGTCTTACTAATAATCCTAAAAAGGGCTTATTTAAATCAGAAACACTTACAAATGATTCAGAGAACAAAAATTCAATTTTCACCCAACTTTTCATGGAAACGTCTGGTGGGCAGAGCAACAAAAGCCAGCAATGGTGCCCCACGCAGGGCAGGACACTCCTCCCAGTGCCAGACAAATGTGGTCCTTATATCTAATATCGTAGCTCTGTACAGAGCCAGAGCTGGGAACAAAGGACAGGTTACCCTAGAAAATCAAAAACAAAATTGAAGTCAATTTACAACTCTAAGCAAGACCTGCAACTCTCAAAGTAGAAAAACATCAGTACAGGCAGTGCCCAGTTTGGAAATTGTCTTCCAAAAGTTTCTTTGTAAGTCGGCTGTTCAGAACTTGGAATGCAAGCATTATTTTATGTTCCAAATCAACCCACAAAAGCTAACCACACACAGAGTGAAAATAGTAAAAAACGATGTTTTGATATCATTTAAAAAATATATCGAAATGCTTAGAAAAACAAATACACCACTCATCACTAGCCTTGACCTGGACCCCAAACCATGAGCTGGAACTTGGACCTCCTTTGATCCAAGTCCTTAGTGAAATGGGGTCTTGAGAAACTGAAAGGGGAAGAATGAGATGAACCTCAGCCTCACAAGGAAAGAGGTTCTGCTGGGAGGAAAAAGGTAGTCTAGCATCTGGCATCTGGAAGAGGAGGGTCTGGTACCTACCCACGACATACTCTCAAGAACAGAAGTGCTAACTGTCACATCTAGAAGGGCACAAGGTATGTGACAGAACAGCAGCCACCCCGCCTGCTACCTCAGCAGACACAATGACCTGCAGCAGAAGATGAATAAGCCAGCCTACCACCACCGCAGAACCAGGGAGGAGAGGGGAAGGGGATTCCCAGCATGCTCTGCAGCGGTCTGGACAGCCACGGGCACCTAGAGACAGGAAGGAAGTAGTTCCTATAGTTGCCAACAATTGGTACAGGGAGGGCCCAGGGGCCACACTTGATTCTAATAGATATTGTTAGGTCAGGAAGGAACTTTCTGAACTTTACAAAAGTGAAACCTGTGTGAACTGATAAGGTTACATAATCAGATTTCTGGTGACTTGAAAAGAAACAGCGCACAAGAAGATAAAGAACATGGGGGAACGCCTTATTCAACACTACACACTTACACCTTTACAACAGGAACCATACTTAATTCCCAATTGTTGCTGAATTCTATACCTGGGTCAATGCCAAACACAAAAGTGATGCAAACCATTGAAAGCGGGTTTGAAAATTGAGAAGGGTTATCATTTATCCACTTTGTACCTTCTTTAATCCTCCAAATAAAGTGTCAGTCTCCAGGTCAAATTCTCGGTCCAGTTCCTCTTCATGCTCTGACAAGAAAAACAGTGTCTATTAGTCACAAATCTAAATAAAAGTGGGTTGGTTTAATAGCAGAGGCATTAAAAGAAATTAGAATATGTCCTGGAAAAGCTGCCTGTGGACTGAACTACAGGCATGGAAACATGTCACACACCTTGACCTTTTGCTCCAGTTTTCTGTGACCTAAATTCCTGGAAATGTGTGGTAGGGCTGATGGAAATGTCCCCTTCGACATGTAATAAGGGTCACAAAAGGAGAGAGGTCAAGAGAGAAAGCTTCCACCACAGGGAATCACGGGAGGGATTAATGCAAATGCCCCACTAATACAGTGGTCAAAACTTTTTTTAAACAGACCGTGCCACAAGATGATGGTGATCATAGCCCCATGATATGACATAATGCTAATGAGATTATACAATGGAGTCACATAATGGTCATAAGAATGTTTATAAGTAAACAATACAATTGGTTTAAAACTAAAGATATAACAAAATCTTCATTCAAATACTCCTTGAAGATATACAATAACCAGGCATGGTGTGAGATACTAGGAATGAAACAGAGCAAGACCAGCACGGTGTTTGTCCTGCTAGGACTTACTGTACACTGGGTAAGATAGACGAGCAGATAATAAGAGACTACGATGGTGCTGAGGAGTGCCATGACACGGGAAGTAAGGAGTGCAATGGCGGTTGAGTTTGGGGTGTCTATGTGATGTCCAGGAGGCAGCTGGATGGGTATGGATGTAGCTTGTAGGGAAGGAAGACAAATCCTCTACCCACTCTAGGTCCTTCTGGCTGGGCTACAAATTAAATTGACATGAGACAGAGTAACAGGAGAAAATCAAAGAAAGCTTTATAACATGTATACATGGGAGAGACTCAGGAAAACTGAGCAACTCACCAAAACGGCCAAGCTGCCAGTTTAAATATCATCTTCAGCTAAAGACAAAGGAGGATATTGGGGGTAGTGGTTTGGGACTTCAAGTGGGAGGAAAGCAATTTACATGGAGATGGAAAGGGAAATGGCCCAACTACAGACAAGTGACCTGAGAGACACGTTTTACATTACATTACAGTTGCCTTATGGTATTAGCTCCTTCCTGGAACAGGCCTTTTTATTTGAAATTCTTTTAGGCAGTTGGGGGGAGGTCAAAGTTTCTTTCAGAGTCTTTTATTCTTAAAAATAATCAAGCCAAAGAGACACATTTTGGGGTGGCCAATTCTGACCCCCCACAAGCTCAAGAGAGTGCCCCATATTGGAGATAAAGACTTAGGAGTCCTCCGTATAAGGGCAGTGATGAAGCCTCCAGAATGGCTAAGATCACCGAGTGCACAGACCAGAAAAGGGAAAACCAGTGCTTATCAGACCAAGAAACATACAAAAACCACAGAAGACCAAAAAGAAGCTACCCAGAAAGATCCAAGGAAAACCAGGAGAGTGTGTAGTCACTACACCATAAGCACAAGATGATGCTGGTTTCAGAGTAGGATCAAGAGGCAGATTCACACACACTACATGCAAACAGCAGCCCCAGCCTCAAACCACAGCAAACACCGCCCCTAGGAACAACAGAGAGGGGAGGGGTATGGACCACTGGCCGGGGATACCAGGTGGCACAACTCCGAGACACAGTCATATCGCACTCCACGTGGTCCAGGAGGTGCTGTGCAGGTGTGTGAGTGTAGCAGGGCCCTGGTCCTTTCTGTTACAACTGCACACACGCCACATCCTGTATGTGTGTGCGTGCTGTGTTGTGCACAGACTCAAGTCCCAGGGAACAGCGCATAAACAAAAGCAATTCAACAAAGAAGTGACAGGAACCTCCTCATGAATTAATACACAGAGGGTGGAAAACCTCTCCGCCTCTTGCCTCTTCTGTTTTGGCTTCACTTTCATACAAAGTGCAACCTCCAGAGACATCAGAATTACGCAGAATTGAAACAAAGCAGAAACCTGAGTTATTATTTTTCTTCTTTTTTAAGAGTACATTCAGAAGCAGTGAAGTTTATACACTAAGCACCAGACTTCCTGAAGCTGGAACATACCTCCCTCTAGTGGGATAAAGGAATTCTATGCAGACAGGAGAATTATGATTAAATTAATTTCAGTATATTTTATTTATTTCAATATATCTGAAACATTATTTTAACACGGAATCAATATTAAACAACTATGAATGAGTTATTTTACATTCCTTTTTCTTACTAATTCTTCAAAATCCAATGTACAGATTATCTTGACAGCACATCTCAATGCAAACCGGCCACATTTCAAGTGCTCATTAGCCACATGTGGCTGAAGGCTAGAGTCATGGAGAGCACAGCTCTAGACCAAAAAACCTCCCTCATGTTTTGGAGAATTTCTACAAATCAACCTTGTCTGACTTCTTGACACAAACAAATGCTGTATGATATACATTTTACATTACAACTTAAATCCATTCACGACCCCTTTGGAAATCACTGTCTTCAGACTGTCTTAACGGAAAATGCATTGCTACAGAATTTGGTTGATATAGGAGAATGGAACCTGAGAACCTGTAGCAGATCTTTCCCTGAAGAGTGATGGCCCTCAGAACTTCTCTGATTATACCTTCTAGGCAGGGATCTCCTATTCTCACCCTTCGGGCAAGCAAGTTTTCATCAACTCACATACACTCAAGGGGATGCTGCAAACAGAGAGAACCCTTCCGGGCCTGAGCAATTTTCTCCACACCACACAGGCCTGACTGTCGGGCAGAGCCAGCTCTTGCTTCAAGGTGCCCGGTTCCATTGCCCAAAATTCCATGCTCCACAAAACTGCTTGAGAGCATAGAAATGAAGCAATTTCTGGTGATGAGCCCTCATTACTAAATCAGCTGTCGATTCTCCCCCTCCAACCACCACCCGACAAAAGGACGTATCAAAGCCCCATTCTACCTACTGAGTGAGGGGATTTGCATTTTAATAGCTGCCAATGAGCTGTGGTGGTAAACCCTTTACTTAAAAGCTCTAACTAACCTACCGCTTTCACCCTCAACATTTTGATGGGAAATCAATTCTGGGGTGGCATAGGGGTAATCAGAGGGCAATAATCAGGCAGAGGGGGAAACAGGCACACATACCCCCTCACCTGATACAAGCCATGTCAGGGACGAGCACACCCAATCATGGCTCAATGCCTCCTGCTGTTTCCACGCATTTGGAAAAATTCCAATCAGCTCCTACTGCTTCTTGATTTCTTTAGGAAGCCTGTGGGTACAGCAGACTGTGGCTGAAAATGAGAGGAGGGAAAGGGAGCAGAAAAGATGGGCTTCTAAAGATAAGAGAATTTAATGGTAAGCAAATCTCAAATATTCATATGAACTATCATACAGAAGAGGGATGATACGGTGCTGGGTTTTCTGATGTTCTTGAAGTGTGGGGACACCTTCTCTCCTCCTCTCTCCCAACTCCCACTCAGGGGATGAAAGAGCGATTTAGAAATAGCCCAGGCAAAAGCAAGGCATATATGTAAATAGGATGCAAAGTAATAAAGGACATAAATGGCCCTCAAATCTCCCTAATAGGCTGCTCCTCTGCTACTCAACTAAAGAATGCTGGGGCCTGTCAAGGCAGACCACCAGGTGTGCAATTCGCATGGGAATCTCTAGGGGTCCCAGGAGAGGCAGAAGAAGCCCCAGACCGAGATGGAAACTCTCAAAGAGGAAGCCGTAAACTCTGTGCACGTTCTTTGTGTTTGATCCAACAAGCAGCACTGGCTGGGGGAGCAGGGGGAGTGAGGAGCTGTGGAGTCTAACACTGAGGTTGCCTTCAAATGCCCTCCAGCCCAGGCCCTGTCCCAAGTCATTGAGAGAGGTTTATTACAAGAATTAAGAAAGCAGACTCGGTGTCAACACAGGAGGAAAACACCAGTGCAAGCCTGAGAGGAAGGGGTGGACCAGGGACCTGGAATCCCAGTAGGAAGGCAGCGACTCAACTATTTCCTGTGACCCTGGCCACAGGGATAAGGGAACCAAGGGTCAAATATAACATGAAGCACTGCCAGACAGAACACTGTGAGCTTCAGCTGTGCCACACACCCACTATTGACGCTGGCCACCAAGACACCCTGTCCAGTCCTCGGCTCCTGCAGAGGCTGTGTACTTGGGTCCTTTCACAAAGGACGAGTTAACTGAAGGGCTCCTGGTTACCCCACCCACAGTCAGTGAGCTCACCTGGTTCCAGAGGCAAGGACACCTGCTCCAGGACAGGACCAGTGGCCTTTGTTTCCCCACCATGAACTGGGCCCTGCAGAGTTACCAATCATCTTGCAACCGATTTCCTCTAACCACAAAAGTAAGTGGGAAAAATTACCTCCTGATTAACAAAGCCCATCCCCATGAGAGGTTAGTGTGTTGCATGAACAACATAAAAGAATTAATCTATAGGGCCGGCCTCATGGCTTAGCAGTTAAGTGCTCACGCTCCGCTGCTGGCAGCCCGGGTTTGGATCCCGGGCGCGCACCAACGCACCACTTCTCCGGCCATGCTGAGGCCACGTCCCACATACAGCAACTAGAAGGATGTGCAGCTATGACACACAACTATCTACTGGGGCTTTGGGGGAAAAAAAATAAATAAATAAAGTTATTAAAAAAAAAAAAGGAAGAAGAAAAATCAAAGGAGACAGGAGTCCATTTGAAAGGGCTTC